ACGCGACGGCCGAACAGCTCCGCAGCGTCCTCGCGCAGGTCATCCTCGTCGTCATCTCCGGCTAGCCCGCACATCCGCCTCTCATCGTTGGCGCTGACCTCAACGGTCTCGTCGGAGGAGCGGGCCATCGTCACTCGCCGGCGCCTGGTTCCTCAACGGCTTCACACATAAACAAAGAATCAGAGTGATCTAGTTAGGGTTAGGGTTAGGGTTAGGGTTAGGGTTTACAGTACCTTGGCGGCCGGAGCACCGGGAACGCCGGCGACGTCGACGACGCGGGATCCGGCCCTCTGGTTCCTCGACGGATGCGAATCAAGAGGGGACCTATAGTAGGGGAGCACATCAGATCGAGATCCGGGGGGATAAGAGAGGAAGAGCCAAATCGGGGGAGCAAAGCTCAACTTACCGACATCCGGAGCACTGAGAGTTGCCGGGGCCCGGCGAGGTCGATTTACGGTGGACGAATGAGACGACGAGGTGGGACGACAAGGCTACATCAACGGGCGAGATCAAGACGAGGCCGTGCCGTGTGCCCGTCTTGCCGGCCAAAGAAGGGCTCTAGATGCCATCGGAGGGCGAGAAGAAGAGAGGAGACACCACCGGAGGCGGAGGGAGACGAAGAGAGGAGAGAGCCGCTCAGAGAGGTTAGAAGCGAGAGACATGGAGAGAGAGAGGGGCTGGAAACAAATGAGCTAGGGTTTCGTCGACACGGGCGGCGGGGGGCTGGCTTATATAGTCGACCCATCCATCGGTCGGATCCAACGGTCATGAATGATCCTGGGGAGGGATCAACGGCTCTCCTTTCTTTGGATCCGTGCCAAGGCCGTGCCGGCCTGTTAGCCGTGTTGCGTGCCGGGCCGTGCTAGCGGGCGTGGTGGTGGCAAAGCCACGCACGGCATGCTGCTGGGCCATGTTGTGCACGGCGCGGCGGCCGGGCCGGGCCGGGCCTGGGCCGTGCTTTTTAGTGCCGTGCCCGTGCCGGGCCACCGTGTTAGTGCCATTTGGAAAAGTATAACTACTAGCGAGCTTCTTCGATTCGTGTATGATAATGAATTCACAGTCGGTCTCGTCGGTCGGTCCAGGGCCTGACGAGGCTAACTTGAGAGAGAGAGAGAGAGAGAGAGAGAGAGAGAGAGAGAGAGAGAGAGAGATATGCATGCAAATATGCAGTGCAATCTAGGCGGCTGCCATCCATCCCCATCCATCCATCGCTCTGAATGTGCTCTTTGTGTGTCTCTCGACAGTGGTCAGTTGCCCCCTCAATAAAAAAAAAGGAAGGAAGACAGTGGACAGTTGCGGCTGCGGGCTGCGACCACCGACCCATCCACCTGGGAGGTCCTACAGGAGCTATTGAATTTGAAGGAAGAAGAATGCCTGAAAACTGTTCTTTTTCTTTGGAAGTGGTGGAGTGTCTGAAACAAGCTGAACAAGGGAGAGAGGGGATTGTCACGAGATGAAATAGTAGGATAGGTCCTGCGCTTGATGTGTGAACTTGGCCGGAAGGAGAGACAGGTGCCGGTGAGGATGGCCAATGTACAGCAGAGTTGGAAACCTCCCCCAGCCGGATTGCTGAAGATCAACACGGACGGGGCTTTGTTGTTAGAGATCACTTTGGGGGATGTTATTGTTGCAGGGGCGGGGCGTCTAATAGCTGCGTCTGATGTGCTTACAACAGAGACAATGGCGTGCTCAATGGCTCTTCTCTCGGCAACTGACTATGGCATCTCGAGGATCCAACTTGAAGTCGACTCGACTGTCCTGAAGCAGGCCCTCTCATCCTCATTGATGGACCTTGCTGCGTGTGGTATGGCGTTGCGGGATGTGCGTGATCTCCTGCGGGAGCATTTTGTATGCGACGAAATTCTTTCAGTGCCTAGAAATTGTAATACCGCTGCGCATAATCTAGCCCAGCTGGGGTTGAGTTGGGACTCCGGTGAGTCTTGTGTGTGGACGAACCCCCTCCCAGAGTTTGTAAAAAACTTTATGTCTCGTGATGTTGTCGAGGCTTCTGATATAATAACAAGGCACTAGAGCCGGATTCCAGGTTAAGAAAAAGCAAAAAAAGAAGCAACCCACTACGCACGCACGCGCATCAGTAATTCATCCTACTATTTCCATTGGATCCTCTTTTCTTTTCTTTTCCTCTTAAAAGCCAAAAGATGCTAGACTGGTTAAGCAGTTCCGACGGTACCCCTCAGGTCCTGAGTTTGAACTCCCATAGGAGCGGATTTCAGGCTAAAGGTAAAAAAATTCCTCTCGCTTGCCCCGGGTCAAAGCACAGGTAAAGAGATCGGTCCTTCTCACGGGTAACGTCTCCCTATGTATGATGAGGCGGGGGTTCGATGATTTTCTCGGTCTGTGTGGGAATACCTTCTTCTTAAGCACAATACCCGGGGGGCGGTCATGACCCCTCGCAGGTGAGTGTTTTTTTTCCCTCTTAAAACCATCTAAAACAATCAACCTATGCTTATTACGTGCATTTTGTCCTTTTACTTGTTACTTATTACGCGCACAAATCTAAAACAATCTATATTATCTGAAGTTGAAGGGAGTATATATTTCCTCAAGGGCTGGTTAAAGCTCGATTGGGCATACTGTCTTGCCCACTCTAAGCGGCCGAGCAGTTGGGTGAGTTCTAAAAATAATACGAATGAGGATCCTAGGTCACTAGTTATTAGAGTATATCCACCATATATCCTATCCAATCTCATATAACTAAAAACTATCTTTGACATTAGGCCATAAAGGGCCAAATTTCAATACAGGTGGGGACTCCCCCACCCCCCCCCCCCCCTCCTGCCCCGGCTGGGTGACTTCATAAAAAATATAGCTAAAAAGTGTAGTTTAGGAGATGAAGATATTACGGCAGATCTCCTATCTCATCTCTTATGCCTACAAATTTTAAGACATCTCCTTAAAAAAGCATAATCTCTTCTAAACAAAGGAGACAATTGCCCTCTCTCTCCCTGCCTTAAAAAAATATAAGAGATATCCTATATCGTACTCTTCTAAAGTAACTTATAGGAGATGCAATTATAGGATATATATAGAGTTGCTCTTTTTAACCACCAGTGGATTCCAGCACCCCAGACCCAGCTAATAATAGTCCAACTCATATCTTAAAATAAGTATCCATCCAACAAAAAGTTAATTTAATTGGCTTTTCCAAGCAAGTTAAGTAAGGCTGATTATTATTAGTTGAAGGATCTAAACAGGGCTCACCAAATAGCTAGGCCACCTCTTCTCAGCCGCAAGCCCTTTTTAGGGCGGTGGGAGTAGATCGAAGCTCAGATAGACAGATAATCCAAGAACACGTACATAGAGTAGAGGATGGACGCACGCAGGCACGCTTCAGCCGCAGCTCGTGAGCTAGGCGTGGGGTGGGGATAATGCATTGCGTAATGTGAAGGCCGAAAGCTAACCAGCAGAGAGTGATATATTCTCCTTCAGTGGGGCTGCCAATGCCAATGCAATAATGCAGCAGCACGCCACGCATGTTATCAGAGCACTAGCTAGGCCACTAGATAACCTCCCTCTGGCCCGTGATCCATGGCTGATGGCTCCATGCATTGGGATTATGATTCACTAGTAGTACCATGCTATTTGGATTTGGAATTGGAACCGACGACGATCGACAAGCAAAATCCTCATCGGAGTTGGAGATAGATGCATGCACGGGCACGGCGACCCGTGACGACCCTCCCTCTGTTTTTTCCCCTCTGATTCTGACCACACAACAATGCAACGCACACTGACAGCACACGGGATGGATGGATGGCCAAGCAGCAAGCAGCGAATGTGTGTTTGTCTAACTTCACATGAAAGCTGCTACAAACAACACACCAGCCGACGAAGCAGCAGCACTTTACCAAATAATATACTCTACTATACTACTGACTGACTAACTTTTCATCTCAGAAATCAATCTATCCATCTCACAGAAATTTCAGACTCAGCACGACGTTCATCAACCAGTCAGTCACCATGCTAAACTAAAGTTGCTAATTGACTGGCAGTGTCAGTTATTCAGAGCTCATAGCCTACTAATGCTAGTAGTATTCAGGAAGAGAACAGGGCCGCTCATATCAATACACGGGTGAGCCGCTATAATAATAAGCCAATACTACTGAACAAAAGGCAATTAACTGAAGCTAAAGATTCTAAACACGTCTTCCGTAGCACTAAGCCGATATGAAACACAAGCAATTAACCTTTTTTCTTATAAACAAGCAAGCAGCTAAGTGAAAGTAATTAAGACTGTACATACTTCTTCCGTAGCTGAGAATGACATGCATCTGCACTACTAAGATGTAAGTAGGCCGGACCGGTGAAAAGCGATTGAGGCAACTGAAATAGCTAGTCAGCAAAAGATAGATAGTAGAAATACTTTATTACCTACCATGGTTTTAGAGCTTCCGCTATAACTATCTCTATCTTTGGATATAGCTGTTTCAGAAAGATCTAACTAGTCGTTCCTATATACAATTTAGCTACCATTGCCTAATTTAATCAGCGATTAGTTGTTTTGAGGCAGATCGCTAAATGCCGTAGTCTATGATTTAAAACAACGTTACCTACGTTAATAGCACTCACAAAGACACTTCTAAATTTATTTTCTTTTCATAGTGGTAAAAAAAGTGTAGGCTTAAGAAAAGGAGGCACTTGATAGTGGTACAAAAAAGAAAACGAAGGAAAATGTAGTTGTGGACTGCATAAACCACCAGCTTATATTAATTAATAAAGGAGATCTCAAAGAGTAGGAAAAAAAAAGATTATATTAATGAACGACATTTCAATAAACAAGGAAAGAAAAAAAGCTTCCTCTATTAATGAAGGAGCTAGTGCTGAATAGTGCAGCAAGGACTCCTATAAATTGGCTGCCGCTCGTCCTGCCACTACCATCCAATCCACTCCATCATCCCGTGATCTCACGAGTGAGTGAGTCACTCCAAGCCTACTGCGGTTACCAGCACCGGCAGAGCAGCACAGCAACGGCAGCAATGGCGCTGCGAACGCTCGACCTCAACGCGCCGCCGCTCCTCCATGTACGAACTCACCGCCTCCGTCCTCTCCTCTGCTATCACATCGCATTCATTCATTGCAGCGAAGTCGCGGCGGCCGCGTGCGCGTTTCTTCTTCTTCCTGCGCTAGCTGCACGGTTCTGCTCTTCATTACTCCTCATGTCCTGCAAATCCCATCTCCCAGTTGTTGAAAGTTGCAAGTGCGGAGCATCCTCTCTGTTCCGCTCTTTCACGCCTTTTTAGTTCTGCGTTCTTCTTCTTCCGGTCATTATGTGTCCTCGTCGGTCGCAAGTTGCACATGGAGGTGCTGAAATGGCGCACCGAAAAGTGCCGTCTTTTTGCCTCACAAATGTGGGTTAGGTTAGGTACTGCACTGCACTGCAGCAATCTCTATCGGATTGCCTGCCAACAAGATATGCTGCTACTTTCGCATGCACAACCAAAGATTTTCGCTCTACTTCTCGTTTCCCCCAAAAGATTTTGCACATATTTTCCGAGAATTTTCAATCAAAAGATCAATGTCCCCCCCAAATCGAATTCTACCCAGTCCAGCAATCCAGATCAGCTCATGTATGTATGTAGCAGACAATTTCTGAAGCACGCACGCTGACGGCCTCCTGTTTCCTGGAACAGATTCTGCGCTCGCTATGCCTCCTCGTCCTCGCCGCGTCGGCGGCGGTGTCGGGGCGCCACCACGCGCCCTCCCCGGCGCACGGCACCGGGCAGAGCATGTACCTGGCGCCGGCCTGCCGGGCGCACACGGCGTCGCTCGCGGACTTCGGCGGCGTCGGCGACGGCACCACCTCCAACACCGCGGCGTTCCGCTCCGCGGTGGACCACCTGTCGCAGTACTCCGGCGAGGACGGCGGCGGCGCCATGCTGTACGTGCCCGCCGGGAAGTGGCTCACGGGGCCATTCAACCTCACCAGCCACTTCACCCTCTTCCTCCACAGCGACGCCGTCATCCTCGCCTCCCAGGTCGGATACGAATTCGGTTTTGATTATGATGATAACTGACCGGATATGACAAAACCGATGTGCCAAATATTTCAATATTGGTACATATGGTGCCTGGCTAAAACGATTTGGTCATCTCAAATATTTCAATTTTTTTATCAGTTTAGATATGCTGCGGTGTCCTGGGCACATCATTTGGTAGTTGCACAAAGTTGTCACCAGACAACAAACAATTCTAGAAATGAATGAGAACATCTTGATTTACTTGTATATACTGTATATGCTACTTTCTACGCACTGACTAACCGTTATTCTTGATGCTAGTATCAGAAAAAAAAAATCTTGATTTAATGATTCAATACATAATAGTACACGCGTATTCAGATATTTTGTTTTTTCAGTTCTACATTTTGATAACAAAGCAAGTTTGGTGGTGCAGGACATAAACGAATGGCCGATCATTGATCCCCTGCCTTCGTATGGAAGAGGGAGGGACAAAATTGGAGGAAGATTCGCTAGCCTCATCGGTGGATCAAACCTGACCGATGTAGTCATTACTGGTGAGTGGTCAGAAATGTTCAGTGTTCAGACTGAATGAAAGATGTTGTTCATATCTTCAGTTTCTTTTTTCTCATAATAAGAAACAAATATTCAGAGCCTAACTGGAGCAACGGATAGTTAAACCTGCATATGCTTTCCTGACCCCTCATCCCAAAAAACGTTGTCAAAGTTGTCACCATTCACCAGACGACAGACAATGACTAAACTAGATCCTGAAAGATGTTCAGTGTTCAGGCTGAAAGGTGTTCGTATTCAGAATTCGGTTTGTCTGAAGAAATAAATGTTCAGAGCCTGACCAAGCACTGGATAACTAAAAGAGCATATGGAAATGCTTTCCTCATCCTTCATGCTAAAAAATGTGTTCCTTTTTTCCATATCAAGACACAATCGATGTAGCACAACATATCTGACTTGGCTGTGGCTGTGATGTCCAAACGATGCGATTTCATGTTTCAGGTAACAACGGCACAATCGATGGACAGGGTGCGATGTGGTGGTCGAAATTCCACAAGAACCAGCTCAAGTACACGCGCGGGTACCTGATCGAGCTGATGCACTCGGACACCATCTACATCTCCAACCTGACGCTGCTCAACTCGCCGGCGTGGAACATCCATCCGGTCTACAGCAGGTTGGTGATTTGCTTGTGTGAGAAGGCTTTGATCTCGTCTGTCAGGAACTAACTAGTAAACTTTGTACAAGCACCTGAAGTCAGAAATGATTTGGACAGCATGCTTATGTGCTGACTTCTGACATCATTGCTCACTCACTCCTATAAAACTGTTATAACGCAGCAACATCGTGGTGCAAGGCATCACCATCCTGGCGCCGACGAACTCGCCCAACACTGACGGCATCAACCCTGGTATGGTATATGCTCCTTCATTGAAGGATGCAGAAGCTGCTGATTCAGTTAGAAATTATAGTAGAAGTAGAAAGCAAAACTAAACAGAAATTGATGATGCCTGTCACACACATGAACATGGCCTGACATGGTACGAATCGATGCAGACTCTTGCTCGCACGTCCGGATCGAGGACTGCTACATCGTGTCCGGCGACGACTGCGTGGCGATCAAGAGCGGTTGGGACGAGTACGGCATCTCGTACGGGATGCCGAGCCAGCACATCGTGATCCGTCGCCTGACGTGCGTGTCCCCGACGAGCGCGGTGATCGCGCTGGGCAGCGAGATGTCGGGCGGCATCCAGGACGTGCGCGCGGAGGACATCACGGCGATCAACTCCGAGTCCGGCGTGCGCATCAAGACCGCCGTGGGCCGTGGCGCGTACGTGAAGGACGTGTTCGTGCGGCGGATGACGCTCACCACCATGAAGTGGGTGTTCTGGATGACGGGCAACTACAATTCCCACCCGGACGACAAGTACGACCCCAACGCCATCCCCGTGGTGGACAACATCAGCTACCAGGACGTGGTGGCCACGGGGGTGTACAAGGAGGCGGCGCGGCTCGAGGGCATCCAGGGCGCGCCGTTCCGGGGCATCTGCGTCGCCAACGTCACCGCCGAGCTGTCCAAGTCCAGGAAGTACCCCTGGACGTGCGCCGACGTCGAGGGCGTGTCGGTTAACGTCAGCCCCGCGCCGTGCGAGCCGCTCCAGGGCGCGCACGACGGCGCCTGCCCGTTCCCGACCGACACGCTGCCCATCGACCAGGTCACCGTGCAGCAGTGCGCCTACGACGTCCCCGGCGGCGGCAACTAGCAGCTCAAGTCATCTGCGGTACGGTTGATGCAAGGACCAAGGAGTCTATGTGGATGTGGATCACCAGCTAGCTGCCTCGTACAACTTGTAGCGCTGCTCATATATATACACTTGTAGTCCAGGTCCAATGCAAGCAAGCAGTAGTATGAAGTCTGACGAATGAACACAATAACGAGCGAGCAAGCTGAGCTTAATTGGTGAGTCTGTTAGCTGTGTGCCATTATAAAAGTTCATAAGGACAGTTTCAATGGTGTATTAATGATGGTTTCTATCCTCGTTAAATGACTTACCACGTAGGCAAAACGCTGATATGGCAACGTAATTAATGAAGAAAGAGAGCAAAAATTCTAGAAATGATTTCCTCAAGAAGAAATCAGGTCTTCTCTTGACCCAATGCACAAAAAAACCATGAAATCGCCATTGGGGAGAAACCACCAGTTTCTAAGAGGCTCGTGCCGCACTCCCATTGAAGAAAGAAGATAGAGTTGGGAGAGAGAAAGATAAAATAATTATTACTCATAGAAACCATAGGTTGGAAAGCAGTATTTTTTTAGTGCGGTATCCTATGTTATAGAAACTACTAATTTCTTTCATTGGGACTGCCCTAACGACCTACAAGTCATTAAAAAGTTCGAGCAGTCAAAGAGAACTTTTTTTCGTGTTTTCACCGTTTGACAGATGACAGCCCTAACATGCGGGCTTAGCAAGTAAAGATGTCCAAAATACCATTCTCTCGTAACTCTATCCTCTTGCTTTTCTCTCTCTCTCTCTTTCTAGCGGGGCTAAGCTGTTAGAGCGACCCAACACCTTTCTTTCTCTGTCTGGTGGGGCCAAGCCGTCAGCGACCCCAACTCCTTCTTTCTCCTCAAGCTATTAGCGACCCGTCTGCCTCAGCGGCACAGCCGGTCCGGCGAGAGCAACACGAGATGAGGCAGAGCTCGTGCACGCGAACGCCACATGACACGAGGACGGGGGAAGTTGCAGCCGGTAGGAGAGGAGTAGCCGGCGGTGAGAGCAACCCGACGCGCTCGAGGCGCCTATCTCCGTGGCTGAGGACAACAACCTTGGGGAGGAGCAGACGGAGCTAGCCTGGGAGAGGAGCGGACGGAGCCAACCTAGGAGAGCAGCCGCCCTGAGAAGAAGGCAGCGGCGGGGGCGAGAGCGGGAGGGGGAGTGGTCTGGCAGCCTGTGGGGCGCGGGGGAGGTGACACCGGAGGTCACCGTGGACATGCTACTCACCAATCACCGCCGTGCCTGGTGCGCAGCTCCACCTCGGGGACACCACCGCAAGTTGGAGTCAGACCTCCGTGCCTAGGACGCCGAGGCCGAGCGCCAGGAGCTCCCTCACCGCCGAGTTCCGCGTCGAGTGTGCTCTGGACGCCGGAGCACCGCCGGCCGCCGGAGGCGAGCCTACCCCTACTCGGTCGGAGCATCCCCTCTCCTGCATGCGTGCACAATCGGCAGAAGGTCTCTTTGCAGTTTAGCCCTCCTTTCTATCTTATCATATCGTTATATCACGTGTCTTGTGAATCTTCCCAAAAACCTCTGTTAAACTTTGCACATCACAGCTGCTTCCATTAGATGGCATTTGGTCAGCGAGGGTAGGGCAACTGGACGGAATGGTGTGGCGCGGCAAAAAGTTCCGACCAGAGGTATCTATGAGCGCTCGAACTTTTCAGTAACTTGTAGGCCATTACAAACTTTTATAGTAGCACACATGTAAAAGACTCTTAACTGGTGGTCTGCTAGACTGCTACTCCATCCAACTATCTTCTTGTGAAGATGCATGGAGATGGTGGCTGATGTCCATGTGAATTTGTGTGAAATCAGCTAGCCTGCAAGGTCATTTAGGCCCAGCTGTTGTTGAGTTTGCTGTTGCTTATGCATATATACAAGCTACATGTTATAAATAAAGAAGAAAGGTGGCTTCGAAACAGGGGGCTGAGTAGATTTTCAAATAAATTTCAAATAAATTTTGAAATTCAAATAAATTTTGAAAATTTAACACTGCTGCCCCCTTAAAATTCAAAAAATTAACTTCCCGGCTCCAACCATGCTTTGAAAGTCCCATCACTTGCAGCAATTAGATGGAGTTGGATGATATTTGAATGGGCATGGCTAGCGCCCAAACGTCCGGACGCTCGGGCAACCCGCCCCCGTACGCCTTCGCCCTGCCCACAAGTGCGCTCTGCCCTCGTCTCTGCGCTCGCCGCTCCTTCCCCTGACCCTCTCCTCTCTCTCTGACTCTCCGCGCGGGCGACACACGGGAGCCGAGATGAGCGGCTGAGGACGAGCATGCCCCCAGCGCGCCTGGACTTGCAGCACCCCCCATTCACCGGCCCCAGCGCCCTCGTCCGTCAGCCCACCAGCGCGCCGCGTGCCCCGTCCGTCGGCCCCCGGCTCGCCCCCTGCCGAACAACATAAAACACTTGCAACTTGAATGCAACATAAGACTGAAAACATATGAAACATTTGGAATATGCTCTTACAACACGTGTGTGAAGCACATGAAAGATCCAAAATAAAACGCTTACAACATGAAACCGCTTGCTGCAACATAAAATTAAAACAACTGAAACATTAAAACATACTTTTGCAACATATGCAACATCCAGATAAAAAATGATTACAACATACGTCTGGAAACAGATGAAATATTTTGAACAAATGATTGCAACATACCTCTGAAAACACTTGCAACATCCCTTGATTTACTTCTTACAACATACATCTTAAACGTCTGAAACACGTGAAACATACATATGTGTAGGGGGCCGTGACGCCTAAGAGGGGGGGTTGAATTAGGCAACTTAAAATTTTACTTCTTAGCTATGGCCTCTTTTTCTACCCTTAGCAAAACATATGCAAAAGATAAACTATCTAACTGTGCAACTACGATTTTGCTAGTGTGTTGCCATCTCTACCGCAAAAGAAATAATACATTCAATGTAAATGCGGAAGCTAAAGAGCAAGGTAGAGATATGAAAACTCCCCTCGACGACTCTAGTATTTTTACCGAGGTATCGAGAAGCGCGCAAGCTTCTCCCTAGTCCTCATTGGAGCCCCTCGCAAGGAATCCCTCGCAAGGGCCAAGCTCCCGATCAGGTAACTCCGTGGATAGCCTCGGGCCTTCCCCACGTGCAAGTGGGTCTCCGACGTGCCTTCCGGTAAGCCTCTCTCGGATGCTCCCCGCCATCCTCAATATCAAGCTTTCGGCCAAAACGTCGCGGGCCTTGTTCCCTCCGGTACACGGTGACGGCCACACCACAAACATGGTTGGTGTGATCTCGCAAGACAACAAGCCCCTCCGATGTACAACAATGGTGCGCGCAAGCACCGAGTGGTAAGAGGTATGCAAACCTCACTAAACATTAGGCCTAAACCTAGAGCAAGCGCATAAGCCGTGGTCTAATCAACCTAAGCACTTCACAAAGCACCTACGCTAATCACCTAATGAATCACTAAGCACTATGCAAGTGGAGATCACTAAAATGGTGTATCAACACCCTTGATATGTTTTCTTAGCTCCACATGATTCATTTGGCCGGTTGGGGGTGTATTTATAAGCAACACTGAGAAAGTAGCCGTTGGGGACGAAATCCCGCTTTTCAGCTACTGACCGAACGCTCAGGTCGTCCTGATCGGACGCGTCCAGTCGTCCCGACCGTTAGAGCTGCGATCAACTGATCGGACGCTGTCAGCGTCCAGTCACATGCCACCGGACGCGTCCGGTCGCAATTTCGCCGCTCTGGAACCTTTCTGTACTCGATCGGACGCTGTTGTCCTGCGTCCGGTCGATCTTGTTGTTCAGCGTCCGGTCGCTGCTTCTGTCGAGCCTCTTGATCGGAGCGTCTGGTCACTGTGCTACCAGCCTCCGATCACCTCTGTGAGCTTATTTCTTCGCGATCTTGCGTACGGTTTGGTTCCTATCTTCGTGCTTGGACTTTGCTTAATATCTTGCGTCTTCTCTTGTGCTTAGGGTCTTGCTTATGGTGTTGATCATCGGATCATCACGTCGCCTTCGTCCAAGTCACGTCTTGCATCCTATTAAACTACAAAACAATCACTTGCAACTTCATTAGTCCAATTTGGTTGTGTTGATCATCAAACACCAAAATCCAAAGTAAATGGGCTAAGGGTCCATTTTCCTTACAGTCACCAAACACCAAAATCCAAAGTAAATGGGCCTAGGTCCATTTTCCTTACAATCTCCGCCTTTTTCGTGATTGATGACAACACGACCAAATCAAGCAAATAATGAGACTTTGAAATTTTAAACACTATCTACTTGCTAGGATGCAATGCAAGGGGTAAGGTTATATGATGCTAAAAGATACTACTTGTAGAATTAAAAGATATCACATAAAAACTTATTTTGTCCTTACAAATGTCCCCATATGGCATTATGGATTTAAGCCTTGATTTCTACAAATTCTCCCCATTATATAGGCAATCCATAATCCACTATCCTCCCTTTCTCAGACCATTACCACTTGTAGACACCACTTGTAGACTATTGCCACTTGTAAATTATTACGATCTAGCTTTTGGTCCTATAAATTAATGCTTGCTTTTGGTCCTCTAAATTCTCCTCCTTTAGAATCAAACACCGAAAAGGAAGACATTAGTAGCACAAGGGAGAGTCAAACTTTGTGATTCTTTGTATGTGGAGTGGAGTGGGTCACAAACTTTGACTCTCACATTATATAGATTAAGCTCCCCCTAAATATATGCATACATATGGTAGAAGGCAAAGCACATGCATAATTGGTAAATTTTTGCTCAAGGGAATTTATTCTATATAATGCATGGAGAAAGCATATAAATATCAAAATGAAATCAACATGATGATATCGGTTTAGAAATACCACATGTGGAAATCAACTTGATTTCTACCACTTGCAATTAGTGGTGGATATTTGAAGTATTGATGCTTAACTCCGGAGACTTCATTTTCCTTGCAATGAGACTACTGCACACATGATAAGCTTGAGAAGGTG